TTTTCGTCTCAAAGTAACACTTAACATCTCTGAACAACATAACCTCCTTATTCAATAGAACCATAGTACAACAAAAAGTACCAAGAACGTGTGACTCATTCTGGCTACATTTAAGATTTTATAATAAACTTTTTCAACCCATAAAGAAAAAAAATGATCACCTTTATCGGAATCATGAGAATAATCTTTGCATACAAAACATGCATGGTTTTTAAAGATTGGCCTTTCATTTAACATATTCAAAATCCAATTTATTCTCCAGATCTGGCTTCTACTGATTATTTCCTATTTCTAATTTTAAGTAATCAATTCAGACGAAAGCACTATAATAGATGCTTCACAGCACCTAAACAAAAGCTTCCAGAGTGTTACCAAAAGTACAGGAAGTAGCAAAAATATAAGACCCTCTATTCGAATTTTGAGAACAATGAAGATTTCTCCAACTAAAGAAGGTTTCATTTCCGATCTGATGTCATATCTGTCGACATCTATTAGCAATCTATCGCGTGGCGTATTGATTTGAATTCGATCAATTAGTATTAATGAATAAATTCAAAAACATCCAAATCTTAGGTGTGCCCTAATTATAAGACCCCTTCCAGTAAATATCAAAATATTAAATTAATTTTAAGTTTATCAACTCAAACAATTCTTTTTCAGCATCCGTTCGATAGAGGAGTCTCTCAACTATATACTGAGAAAAGAGTTTTTTTTAGAAGACCTCTCCATAATTATCAAAAGTTTCAAAGCTTTTTATCGAAACATATGTAGTCTATACAGCTTTTGATGCTCTATCCAATGCAATGCTATATTTTAAATTGAGTTTTGTACCATTTAATGTCTTAAATGGTAAGAAAATTTTCACAAACCTTTTTCTCAGCAAATAGTTGAGAGACTTCTCTTTCGAAAGAATGCTGAAAAAGAATTGTTTGAGTTGACAAACTTAACATTAACTTAATATTTTGATATTTACTGGAAGGGGTCTTATAATTAGGGCACACCTAAGATTTGGATGTTTTTGAATTTATTCATTAATACTAATTGATCGAATTCAAATCAATACGCCATGCGATAGATTGCTCATAGATGTCGACAGATATGACATCAGATCGGAAATGAAACCTTCTTTAGTTGAAGAAATCTTCATTGTTCTCAAAATTTGAAGATGAGGTCTTATATGTTTGCTACTCTCTGTATATTGCGGCAACGGGATGATACTTCGAAAAAGAAAACATCGATCTATAGTTATAAATCATTTAATTTTTTAAAAATAGAATCAATCTCAAAACTTTTTGAACGTCCTATATACAATTCAGTTCCATTGCCCAAAACGGAGCAGTGACAAATCTAATGATAAGAACAAAACAAGATGTTTAGTGAGATAAGCTTATATTAAAAAAAAAGCTAGGTCAGCAATACCCATCTATATGAAACGAAGTGGATGATTGAAACTATCATACGTCTATTGTCGTCTAATTTTACATTTCATTCAAAATAAATAATTTTCTATTGATTTTTTATCATAAATTGTATGTTTAGATTGAGTATCGATTAAATAGTCAAAATCACGATAGTATAATAATCTGAGAGGTGTGAATTCACAAAAAATATGGAGTCGAGCTCGAGTCTGAAAGAATTTGCAGCTAGCTAATAATAATACAAAAATATGAACAACTGATTTTTGTACAATACCTTTTCGAGAAAACAAAATCTGAATGTTTATTGAAAATGTCAATATAGTTTTTTCTTTTATTTCACTTCTTTTTTATCTTTATTAAAACGAACAAAATTCCGAAAACGTTTTGGATTTAAACCATAAACTTGCAAGCGTTCGTCGGACATATCCGTTAATAACCGTTGTTCATTTGATAAATGTTTCTTTTTTCGTTTCTTATTTGTTGTTGCTAATGGTGTTTGTGATGACGTACCTTCAGCACAAAGCAATGGGTCCGACTTAGATTTTTCTTCGTTCGCACGTTGACTAAAAAAAGAAAAAAAATCAAAACCGAACAAGAAAAGAAAAGAAAAGCAAAGAAAGCCTCCATGTTACGGACGTTATGACGAAATATGACGACATTCGTCAATAAACACCAATGTGTAAAAAAAAATATATACAAGTAAAAAAAAAACATCCGTTTTTACCTGTCGTAAACATTTTTTTTCTCTTCTTTTTTTATATATTTACATCAACGCATATTCACTTATTTTCTTTTCTCTTGAAATTCTGTTGACATTATTTCTACCAACAACAAAAGATTTAACTAAACACATTATCAACTTAACAATACGACTATATGTCCAATGACAGATATTAGCAGGCGCCGGTTTCCTAAGACAAGTATAATAACACCAATGGATATTCATGATTCATCAGGTATGCTGAATAATAATTAATTCAATATAAAAGTCTTTTAATCTTTTTTTTCTCTAAAGAATCTATTTATACTGATTATCATAATCATCAAAATTCGTCTAATTCATCACCACATATTGATACATCAATGCCAACAATAACAATAGATTGTGGATCGAATAATAGCATCAAACATGAAGTTTGGAATAATAATTATGCATCATTAGAAAATATGTGTGATACATCGATACCACTTTCTACTCAATCTACTAGTCTTCAACGTAAACGTTGGAATATTCATAATGAATTACTTCGTTCACATTCTCCTGATCCTTATCGTAAGCGAAACGAACAACCATGTAAACCAATCGCATTACGTCCATCATGCTCACTTGACGACATGACACGCATTAAATTGACGACTAAATTAACAGATGATAGTGGTACGGGTGAATCAATACCAATTAATTCTACACCAATAACGCCATCGCCTATTCATTTTGAAATAGTCCCTATATTTGGACAACCAAAAAGAGTATTAATGGCAAACCGCTATAATTTTGATCAAAAAAAAATAGATGAATATCTAAATCGAAAATGTAAAAGTAATACAAGATTAACAACCAATAAACCAACGACTAGACACAATTCAAATGATAATTCATCAAAAAAATTATTCAAGAGTTTTTTTCCACGTTTTAAAAAACCATCAAAATCTTCTTTAACTGATGCAATTACAAATGAACCAATGGTTCGTCATCATTTATCAGAAGATCAAACAATTGAACATTTTTGAAACAAAAATAAAATTTTTATAACTTATTTGCAGAATAAATAGTAGTAAAAATGCTCAAATGTAATGCTTAGTTTTCATCAAAATGAAGAAAAAAAACCATGACCTTATCAAATGAAAAAGAATAACTTTGTTATAATGACATACATTACATAATTACGCATTTCGTTTTTTTTTATGTATTCATTTTTATATTCAAAAGTTTGTAGAAAATATTTCAACAAGATAAAATCTTCTTGCTTCTTCTTAACTGTTCTATATGTGAGCATCATGTAGAATAAATTTAAACTTTTAAGATTGAACTGTTTTTATGTATTAAGAATATAGATTGCGATAAAAAGAAATATTTTCGAAATTAAATTCTCTACATCTATATATAGTATTGATTTATGTGTTATTAGAAAAAAATTTTTCTATTACCTTTCATCGTTATTATTTTTTTCTTGATAAACACTTGTTAAAATTTGTTGTTTTTTTTCGATATTTTTTGCTTTATTTTTGTAAACATGATAATCTCGAAGTTCTTCATCTTTTGATCGATATTGTGATGTTTTTTTTAATGAACACCATGCATTAAGTTCTCGATCTTCAGCTGCAAGAATCTAAATGGAAAAAAAAAACAATAGAAATAATTTAAATTTTTCTTTTTTCGTGTGTATAGTTAATATTTATATTACTTCTTCAACAGTTAAGCCAAAATTATTTGGTTCGACTTGACGATATTGAAATCTAACAGGCATATCACCAATAAAATCTTCACAATCAAGTTTATAATATTCATTAAAATATTGTTCAAAAGATTTTTCTTCTAGAAAATCAACAAACATATAATTATTTTATTATATTTTCTTTTTATTAAGAGAATTCTTCGTCCCCAACAGTGTCTGTTTTTCATATAGTAGGCAGATGTATGACTTTATTTTACTCAGAAATGATTAGATATAATGTAGAAAAGCATTTTAAAGCCCTCCCACCTCCCTCAAAATTGATCTGAGCCCAGGAACGTTCAAATGACATGAAAATTTAAGAATATATTGAGGCTATAGTGGAGAAACTATAATAAAATTCTCAGCTCGATATCATAACATTTGAGGGAGATATTGACCAAACAAGGATAAAAAAAATAACTCATTTGACAAACCAATTTTTTGTGTCCAGGTTCATTCTACCTAATCATTCCTTTTTTTTTCTTGTAAACAGCATGTCAGGATGCAGTGCAATACAGAGCTCTTTCTTTATATTCTTACTGTTTACGAGGATATAAAGGATCGAAAGTTCAATGAATCAAAAACTCTTTAAAAATAGTTGCTAAATGCCCCTTCTAAACATACACTGTGCTCATCCCCTGAAATATATCCTTGCATTTGGTCAGTTTATAGAGAGTGTCTCTAAATGCCTGAATATAACAGTGTCTTTTGCGTTGGATAACATTTAACAAGAGTTATAAGGTTTTCAAAATTTGCTTATTTTATATCAGCGGAATAATTGTTTCTTACTAAATCCTGCATATTTTATGCATGAAAATTTGTTCTATGGAGTGATATTTTTTTTTCTTTTAGAAGAACTATTGTTCTCCTGAAGGATAGAGGTTTCGCAGGCTTTTGTGAAAGTGAAGTTCGATATACCATGAAAAATAAAGGTTTTATAAAATTATACACTTTAGCATCATTAGTCTTTAAAAAAAAACTTTATATGTACAAGTGTCTATCGATCAAGTATATTATTTCTAAATTACAAGACAATCGGATGTTGTGTTAAAGATATATTAAAAAAAATGACTCCGTCTCGTAATTTTGATATATATTAGAATATACAAAAATCAATGAAAATATCTAAATTTTAGAATTAAAATCTATTCTTCCTTACAGATGTATGAAAGTTTTGGAAGCCTTGTAACTCCTATTAGATCTTACTCAAACCAAAAAGATATTCCAATATTCAGACACTCGGAATTATTCTCTACAACATGATTAAATTTAAGCACATATCATAGGAGGTACTCCTTCTTCTTAAATAATGTTTTTTTTTCTCTCATACTCGGATTAAACGTTGGTTTTGTTTGCGCAATAGCTTGGCGTAGTTTTGATTTTTTCTTCGATTTTTTTGTTGTTTGTTCTTCTTGAGTATTTGATTGCACAGGTTTTGACACTTGTTCTTCTTCTGTATTATCCCAATTTTCCACTAAAAAACAAAATTAAAATTTCAATAAATAGAGAAAAATAAAACAAATCGTTATACCTTGAAGTTCTTCATCGGATATTTCAGGTTTATCTGTTTCATCAGTACCTTTTTGATAATAATCATCATTAAACAATTCCTTTAAAAATAATTTTTTTTTGTTTTTTTCTTTATAATAAAAAAACAAAACAAAACGATCGATTGTATGTATTACCTGCATTCGACGATCGTATTCTTTTGGATCAAAATCTGCATCAAGATCATCAATATTAACTGGTAAATCTTCATCACCGGCAACAGTTTTTAAACGTTTCATTTTATCAAAAATTTCTTTTTTTTTTAAATTTTTTAAACGCTTAATTTCTTCGAGTTTTTGTTTTCGTTCAAATTCTTTTCGTTGTTTTTTTTCTGCACGTTGTAATTTTCGTCGATCATCTTTTCGACGCACACTATCATCAATCGTTCGTGGATATCGTTTTAACTACAAGGAGAAAATTCTTTTTACAATTGATTACATAAAAAAAGAAAAAAAGTAATTAAATATACAAATTCAGAATCAGGTTCTTGGTAACGAAAATTAAATTTTCTTTCGAATTCTTCAGCTTTTTCAAATTCTTCATCGTCATCTTCCTTTTGATTGATTATTTCATCATATGATGGAATTCTAAACTAAAGATAATCAATAAAATGAACGACAAAAGGTTGAAAGGATTTTAAAATAGTCGCGCATGGTTCCTTATATTAATACAAACGAGAGAATGTTCTCAAACTGTCGGATGCTAATCGAATTTATTGTTCAGTGCTTTATCCAAAGTAAGGCGCAGATGGAAGTGGTGGCGCTCTTCCAAAGATCAGGTTAGTCCAGTTGGAGCTTTAAATTGTTTCTCGAGATGTTGAATGATCAAGGAACTTTCATAACTCATAGGCAAAGGTCAGAATGGCAACATTTTATTTTTTAACTTCCCAATATCGCAAGAAGGAATGATATTTTGCAAGTGAACATTTCTGACCAAACCTAAGTCATGCAGTCTTTTATCAGATAGTACTGTCTAAGATTGAAAATTCATTAAAACAGTCATCAATCCGGAAGAACATAATAAAGGTACAAATATTTTTGAACACACACTAGTCTTGCTGAGTTCTATATATAGATAAACGACGAGTTCTCGACCACCATCGAACAGTTAGTACGCTTCTTTGCAAGAAGTCTATTCATGCGTTAGACATTTTGTTTTTTGATTATATAATTTTTTTTCCCTATAGCGACAGTAATGTGTTCTAGTGAAAATCCTAAAGGATGCAGGTTCCTATCATTCGATGCCATAGAAGAAAAAAAGCAGAAATATGAGCATATACTTCTGAAAGAAATGATATGAGCTCAAGTCGTTTTAAGATTTTTACTAGAACACTATTGTACCTATAGAGAAAAAAGTCATTGAAAATCGGTTTTGCGAAGTGAACGAATGAACTCTGGTAAAGTGTTAAATTCAATAGTAAGAGAACCAACTGTCAGAGATCATAAATGACTTCAAAATTTAATTCTCTTGTTGTTACAAAATGTCATAACGTATTGATCAAACTCCTTACTTACAATTTTAGTAATTTCTTACAAGAAAAGATCTCCAAGTAATAAATTACTTTCAAGCTAGGACTATATTCAATCAATAGAATCTAGTGAATACCCTAGAGTGGTTCAAACTGCTGGGCTTTTGTTGGTGAGATTCCGATTGTTTAGTGGATCTTTCCTGAAGGATCTCAATTTTCAAGCAAAGCCATACTTTTGAATTTTGACCTGAAACTTTGCCCACACAAATTCACTAAGTCTCTATAAGATGTGAGCTTTTTTAAAATATAGATGCTTTCTCATAATTATCGTAACAAACATGAATGTTTTGAAAACTAGGATCCTATAGAAAAATTCACTAAAACTTCGATATCTTAGTAAAGAAGACTTAGCAACTAGAATCAATCTAACGCATTTCCTTACTCATTAGATCCTATTAATCGAATATAGTTCCAGCATGAAAGCTATTTATCACTTTCGAACTTTTCTATTGAAATATTCCCAATAGGAATTTTAAAGAAAAACTAAAGCATGATGAAGTTATCTCTAATAATATTTTAGACTGTTAAACATTACGAAATTAATTCTTACAGGAACTCATGAAAAGAATGATTACATCATGCACATAGTATAGTCTCACGAAGAAAGATTGAGAATATATTAACGATATAATTGGATTTTTCGAAGAATGTAAAATCATAATTTGACTTATTTATCTCTCGCTCTATTTGTAATAGTGTAACTCAATGAAGGTAAAGTAAAACAGAAGGATACATCTAAATTTTTAATTAAAAATAGACATATTCAAATTGAAAGAAATCATTCTACCTTGTTTCATCATCATCATCGTCGTCGTCATCAGCATGTTGCAAATGCATTTTATTTAGAATAAAATCACGTAAAAATCTATCACGTTCCGATAATGATGGATCATTCCAATAATCATGTAAATATTTCTGAAGAAGAAAAAAAACACAATATAAATAATTTATTTCTTAAAATATAAATTATTACCAGATCTGATTTAATCGATGAATCAGGTAATTCAGTTTTTTGTCCTTTCAACCATTCAATATAAGCTTCTTCTTCTTTAACCTAAAAAAACTAATTGAATAAAAAAACATATAAAATTCTATTAAATCTTTACTTTTTCGGCTTCAGTTTTTATTTTCTTTGTCAATAATACATCATCATCCGTCGTTGAAAGAACATTTTTAATACTAAATTATAATAAATATTAATTTAAAACAAGATTTTGTTGATGATAGAACTTAATCTTCTAGTGTAGTGTATCTATTCAAAAATCTCATTTCGAATAAAAGATCGAAAATTCTATTGTTTACCATTTTTCAAAAAAGAAATACTGTATTCTCGTTGCTTCCGTCTGTGAAAGTTGTATAAGTGATATATATCCGGTACGGCAAAATGAGTCATATAGACAATAGATAATTCTAGGGATGAACCAATACTTGGATCGTGATTTCAATAATGATATATTTTAGTAATGAAAACCTATTTGTCCTGTCAAGTGTTTATAACAGTTTTGATTTTTCTATCCAAAGCCAAAGAATTTGAAAAAAAAATTTAGTCGAAATTAACAGTTTTAAAACACAAAATCAGATCAATTTCAAGGAAGTCTGTAATCCTTTTTTTATAATATTGAAAGAAATCAAACAATAGTATCGGATAGCTCATTTACAGTTGACACGAATCACTAATTAAAGCATGCTGTTTCTAGAAATGAATGCATCACTTCTTAGAAGTCTGAATATAAAAACAACACATAATCTTTGAAATAACGGTTCAAGAATAGCTGCATCCTAATCTTAATTATTAATTCTTTTCGATTATGTTCGATATACGAACCTATTATTTTTTTCTAAACTCAAGTTTTATCTTTGACAAAAAAAAAATGATAGTACGCACATGACGTTTTATCATAGGAAAATCAGCTTACACAATATATACGTCAAACATTTTTTCTTATTTCCTCATGCTAATCTCGATCATATATTCAGTTCTTCTCAATTATAATGATATTCATATCAGTTCTAATTTCATCAGTGCACTATTCTATATAACATTAAAAAAAGTGTATATTGTCAGAAAGACACCATACAGATCGAAAAATAGAAAACACTATTTATGTGAGTCACAAACATTTGCTTTACTTGTCTGCTAAGACACACTTTAGCTTGTCATCTTAGAATTAAAGTAAAAAATTTTAACTTTGATTATTTAGCGATTAAAGAAAAAGTTTTTACTTCAACAAATTTACTAAAATATTTTAAGCGTACAATTACTATGTCTAATCAGTAACGACAAGCTTCGGGAGAACACTAACAGAATCTTCGGACGAGTGCCGCTCGTATGCTGAATATTTTCCATACAAAATCAACGATTAATTAGAGTAACTAATTTATATCGTTAATTTAAACTTGTTGCATATCATTTAAATTTACCTTTTTTTAATTTCTTCTTGTTCTTCGATGATTGATTTTTTACCATTAGTTCTAAATATTAAAGATTTAATTTATTATTTTTTATAAATTTTTCTATAACGTACTGAATATGATTATCATTATGATCTTCATCTTTATTCATAGCTTCTGCAAAAGCATATTGAATTTCGGCATCTTTTAAAGTCATTTTTTTTTCTTTTTTCTTTTTATTTATTTGATTATTATCATTAGATGTTGATGCATTAAAAAAAGTTGTATTAGAATCATAAATTTTTGGATCATGTTTTTTAAGAATTGAATAACAACGAAGAAATTCTTTTTCTAGTTCATCTGTCCATTCCTAGAAATATGAAATAAGAATCAACGAAAGAAATTATTATAATTTTTTCTTTTTTTATTAATACTTGAGCATTTTCATCTTCAGATTCTTCATCAGAATCATCTTCAATATCACTTCCATATCGAGCTGTTACTAAAATTATAAAATATAAATAATTAAAAAAAAAAAAAAACTTAATCTTTTTTCTTGGTCTAAATAAGAAAAATAGATCAAATGTTACATTTTTGTTTTTCTTCTTTTTCTCGCCATGTCTGGTATTTATTTGCATATGCTTTATTTATTGTTAAAGTAACGGGTGTATCTTCATTATCTTCAAACATCTTTGAAAAAAAAAATTAGCAAGAAAAAATTGATTGATATTCAATGATTGGTTCAGATTTTACCATGTTTGCCCTTAATATCCCTCTTTAATGATGACAATTTCTTGATGTCACTGATATCTCATGTAGAATAATATTAATTTTCATTCATTTACGAATAATAGTACATTATTAGAAAAAAAGGTGAATCAAATATGGAAAACATTTAATGACCTGACATTTGGATTTGATGAATATAGGTTTTGGAATAGTTGCAGCGACACATGGAAGACTAACGAAGGAATTTCTTCAGCTACCTTCTTTCAATTTCAATAGTTTTTTCCCTATAGATACTATATAATGATATAATAAAAATACTAAAACGATTTTTAGTTTCTATTGATATTTGACTAAGCTATAGAATTGTTAATATATCTATTTGCTAGCGATTCCAGATTTTTGAGTTCTGATGTGGAATGTTGCACACCTATATAGAGAACTCAACTAAACTAGCTTTCATGAGAAACAAAATTTAGAAGTTTTAAACAAAGTCTCTTCGAGATACAAATCCTTTAATATAGATAGCGTGCATGTAACAATAGGTGGCGAAATTACGAGGCTTCTCGTTCTATCAGATGAATAGATTTGTACAATGCACCAAAATTCTTATAGGAACGGAAAACTTTGTTATGTACGAGAAACTCAAGTTAGATAAACTAAAAATTATCGAAAGTTTTCTTACGCCCTAACTTAAATAAAAATAAATTGTAAAATGGGAAGTAGAAATAAGAAGTATTAATTGCGTTTCATCGGAATGACATAAAAATAAACTGCGCTCATCTTTCGATTTTTGAACTTACTCTAGATTCTAAACGTTCCGCCACCTATGTAATATACAACATAAATGTTTTTATAGAAACTAATCTAGTTGAATTCTCTATATGTACAAAGTTTCAGATTAAAACTCGATCGCTTAGCCAACTCTCAACAGGAACCGAGATCGTTTTAGGGTTTTTATTAAAATATTAGACAGTATTGATAGGCAAAAACCATTGAGCTTTGAAGGGAACACTTGAAAGTCACCTACTGTTCGATAGGGTACCATCGACTATTTATCAGATTTTTAGGTCTTTTCATTTCTAAAAACTATCAAAAGCTTCGCTTAGGACATATGCAAACGTGAGATGTCGCTAAAATGAACTTCCGAAATATGTATGATCAGAAGAATTTAATATCATAAATAATCTATGTTAGTGACAGATTTCATGAAATGTTGATAGAAGCATCTTTTTGAAACGAGTTTCATTCTAAGTGCATTAATGGATTTCTAGCTCGACATTGATTTGATGAGTCATGTATAATGGGAGCATAGACTAATAATAGTACCAGCTGCTTTACATCCTTTCGACGTCGATCCAAAAATTAAAAAAAAAATTGAAGATATTATTAAACAAAATCGAACATATGAAGAATAATGATCATACTTGTCGAAAAAATGATTTAAATTTGATTGGAGAACAACATATAATATATTTCTATGATTGATTTTTTTCAGATTATTCAAGGATATTAATGAAAATATGACACAGGTTTGTCAATAATAATTGAAGATTATAAATAAGATTTTTTTTTCAGGCTGAAGTTGATGATTCATTAAAACGAATACAAGAACATAAAGGTGTTCAAGGTTATTTAATTATAAATAATGATGGTAAGATGATGATTCAAGAACGAGAAGAAGAATGAATGAAATTATTAGTATAAATAGATTGACAAAAAAAACATTATTACAAGAATTCCTATCATTAAATCCCATTGCCGAAATATCCATGTCTTGAAATCTTATGTGTAGATTAAGCTTTAAAAAAAAGTCTATAAAGTAAAAGATTCGAGAATTTATTGAGTTTCAGCAATATTTTTTGTTCGGTAGTTATAATACTCGCTTTGTAATGATGTTTGCAGTTTACATCTGAGAAGCTCTCGTCCTCAAATCTATCTTTAGAATAATCAATAGTAAGATCTTGTTATTTATTCTAAAACTTGTTAAATGATCTGTTATGTTTCCAGTTTTTCTTGTATTTATTGACTTGATTATTATTACTCAAGAATATAATTATTTGTAGTATTTGACAATGCTAATTTCTGAAAATTAATACAAAACAATATCTTGCTTAATAAAGAATATCTTGTTTGTTGAGAAGAAAATTGGTCGATTGATTTTTTAGGTAAGATTCAGAAGATCGAACATAAGGAATATTCTTCCTCAAGCACAAAATACCATACTTTTCCTTTTAGTTATTCTCAAGGTTAACGGAAATGTTTTTTCCTTTTGTTGAAGCAAATGATTTATGATATAACTAATGTTTTCCTCTGATTAATATACATCATTTTTTATTGAATTAATAAATATCTATTGTTTATATAGGTATTCCAATTCGTTCAAGTCTTGACACATCATTAACTCAACAATATTCAGCATTAATAAAATCTTTATCTGATAAAGCTCGTTCAACAATTCGTGATATTGATCCAACAAATGAACTTATGTTTTTTCGTATGCGAACTAAAAAACATGAAATACTAGTTGCACCTGGTTTGTAGAAAAACAAAACTAATCATCATTTCATATTATATATATATATGTATATATTTGTTTGTTTTTTTCTAGATAAAGAATATACAATGATCGTTTTACAAGCAACAGATGTTTCATAAACTAACTATCATTCTTTTTCTTAATGTCAATCTAATGTCATTCTATCTTTAAAAATATTTACAAAAGAAAATGACAATAATTGCACATTTTTTGTCTCTTGGGTTATTTTAGATGATGAAATGTCATTTATAATTAAACAACCATTATATAATCGATTTTCACTTGATCGACAATATCCAATGTCTTCATCATCGTATCATGGTCCACCTTCTTTTAACTATCGACCCATAGTATCTCCATCAAAAGATTTTACACATGAGTCTCCTAGTGCCAAGCAAAAATTATATGTAACTTTTAGTAAACCAAAACATCCAATATTTGACCAGTAACAATGATACCTATTTGCACTTGTTTTTTTCCATATATGCCGGTAGAAATAATAAAAAGTCTATTTTAAAACCTAATCATAATAAATATTGCCCTATTCTATACTAATGTAATAGTCACATTTTTATCTAATATGATTCTCCAAGAAAAAAAGTGCGCAATCAAAATAGTAAGATGAAAATGCGAATGAAAAAAAAACGAATACTGATCATTCAAGCGTGTATTGAATAAAATCGTTAGTGATAACTAATATACAGTATATACCAAGTGTAGAGCCTTGTTAGAGCAAAACAACACAGCAAACGTGCAAGGAAAATTTTAATTATGGCGACAACTGCATCATCGAATCTTACTAAGTAGGAAATAATATTTTTGTATAGGAGGTACTGCTAGGATTTCAAATAGAGTAAGTAATAAATTTTTATATTAAATGAAAGCTCGTTGAAAACAGGGTTTATTAGTAGTGAACAGTCAGAAAAACAAAATCTTTCTTATGTCAAATTCTTGAAATTTATAGAATTTTGTAGAATGCAACCATTGTAATCTACTTTCACTGGTTCCTACGATAGAAAAACAAAAAAATCCACTTTAAAAAAAATAGAAAAAATCATTGTTCTGGTGATCCTAAAGCGTTACTTTTATGCAAAAGATGCGATTGTCTTTTTGTCTTCTGTTGTTTGTTCCTCATAATAGCTGTTAATTAGAAAAGTTTTTGTTTTTGATTCTGTTAATAACTTCTAGAACAGGAACGATTGAATAGCTTGTCGAACAAAATAAAAAGTCATTTACTTCTCGATATATTTCATATATTGAAAAGAATCTATTATTTAGGCATATCAATTAAGTTTAATGACTAAAATATGGATGGCACTTATGATACTGAACAGCAAAGCCTTTTCGACAGGATCCAATACATAGTTTTTCGTGACGATGGTGATTCAATATATTTCATCTTGTAAAAAAATGTTGTGCTTTATGAAAACATTATAATGATTTTAAGTAAAACGTTTCAGAAAAGATCGAAATAGATGGATGTGCATTATTCCCGATATATAATTTTTTAGCGCAAAAAGAATGGAGTCAACTTATGTGTATTGCGAATGTGTCTGATACGTTTTTTTTTTNCTAGCAGATCAATATCATTCCTTATTGTAATAAAATAAACATTTTTCTATGTACATATGAGGGGGGTCTATAATTATGACAACCCCTATATATCCAGTAGTCGTCTTCAAGCTGCACGTCGTTCTCGAAAAGAAGTTCGTTTTTTGGAACGTATTGATGCAATTGTCGCTATTGCTTCAGCTCCACCACGTTATCCACCTTTAGCACGGCGTCATTCATTTCATGAAGCATTTTTTTATGAACGACATCATCCACATATAATTAAGCAACGTTATCGTGAACGTCGACCAAGTATTGAACGTGATAAACAAAATTTTGATCCGATTATTAAAACAAAATATAAATATGATCAGACACGTGTTAAATCAGCTGGAAAACGTATATTAAATGAATTTGAATGGACACGTGATTTATGGTATAGTTGGCTTGATGAATATATTGCTGAATTCGATAGACGTCAATCAATTCGACAAGAAAAAGAAGCTCAAAAAGAAAAATGTTGCTATAACAACAACTTTTGATGAACCATCAGTAACAAAAATAAATGAAGATGAAGATGAGGAGGATGCGACGAAAAAAGTCACTGCTGTTTCATTAGAACCAATTACAAATCTTCAATTAGCTGATAGTGAAGAACATCGTTTGATTGAGGAGGAAATTCATCGTCTTACAGCATTAATTAATCGAGATCAACGAGATGTGTTTAGTTTAACACGATGCGGAGCTTTATTGCGTAAACTTGACTTATTTCATGATGCTCTTGATGATCTTTCATTAGCTATTTATATCGAGCCATCATTTATGGATGCTTATTGGCAACGTGCACTTATTTATATGATTTTTGAACATTATGATGAAGCATTAGATTCTTTAAATATGTCTTTAAAATTTAATAAAACACATGCTGGTGCTTATAAATTACGTGGTGATGTATATGCCATTAAAAATGATTTAGCTTTAGCTATTGCTAATTATTCTCAAGCTATTCGTTATAATTCAACAGATCATGAAACTTATTTTCAACGAGCATAAACATATGAACGAAGAAATGAAATTCTTTTAGCAATGGATGATTATGTCCAAGTAACTCGATTGAATCCAAAAAATACTGAAACTTGGTAAGGCATTAGAGCCCATCTGGTTGAAAAATTCTCGGATCCGGATCCAGCCGATCAAATTTTTTTTGAGTCCGGGACCCGAATCCGGGGCCAGTAAAGCAAAAAAAACCAAGTATTTCTGGACCCGAACCCGGTTGACAAAATTTTCAGACCCAGATCTGGTCGATCAGATTGTTTTTTGTCCGGGACCCGGACCCGGATCCGGTAGAGCACATAAAAACCAAGACTTTCTGGATCCGGACCTGGACCCAATCGGCTCCGACTCCGAGTCAGATCCAATGGGGTCTGTAGGGCATTCAGTTCCTGATTGACTTATTAATATTGAAAATTTTCTTCTTTTAGGTATAGACATGGTATGTATTACTTTAATACAAATAATTATGATTATGCGATTGGTGATTTTACTGAATTATTAAAACGTCAACCTAGTCATGTTTCAGCACGTCTTCAGTGTGGTCTAGCATATTTCTATCTTGAATCTTATCAATCAGCTTTAGTTGATTTTTCTGCTACATTTCATTATGATCCATCAAATTGATCAGCTTATTATCATCGTACTTGTCTTCTTCGTACATCAAATCCAAATCAAGCATTAAAAGATTTTAGTATATCATTATTAATTAATCCTGAATATGAAAATATTGGTGCTTGTATTCATCGAGTTTTAATTTATTATAAACAAAATCAATTTAATGCAACAATTGCTGATTATGAAGCTGTACTTGTATTAGATCGAGAACATACACCAGCTTTATGTAATTTAGCGATTATTTATATGAGAACAAATGTTCAAAAAGCTTTACAATTATTTTCTCGAGCAATTGAAGCTGAATCAACATATGTTTGGGCTTATTTTTATCGCGCTTATTTCTATGCTCAAATCAATCAATTACAGCAAGCATATTCAGATTATACAAAAGGTAAAAAATCAAAATTTCTATTTCCATGCAATGAATAATTTTTATGTTTGAAGTTTATCATATGTTTTCCGATCAAAATGCAGCTATGGTACTTCGAGGAAATATGCTTCTTGCAATCGGACAACTTGATTCAGTATCATTTTGTGTTGAAGTAGCTGCAAAATTACAATCATTATAAAGTCCAGAAGAAGATCATTTACCATCATCAGAATCATCTTCAATGAAAATAAGTGCATCAAGTCCTCAACAACAAGCAATTGTTCGTTCATTTCTTCAACAATATGATTATGCTTTATCGATTATGGAACGTGAGTGTTCATATCATCCGACTGCTGCAAATTATCGTATGCTTGGAACATTACGTATTAAAGCTAAACAATTTGATCAAGCTTGAGATGCATTTGAAAAAACTATACAAGTTTGTTCAAATAGTATAACCAATCAAACAGCTGAACTTCATGGTGCTTATTTGGATTTAAGTAAATGTCTTATACAACTTAAACGTTATTCACAAGCGATTGAACAATTAACTACACTTTCAAAAATTCAACAACCAAATCAAAATGCTGAAGCTTATTTACAACGTGGGATTGCGAAAATGAGAATGTTTGCAAAATTTAGTGCTCAAGAATTAGCGAAATTGTCATCAAATCGACGACCATTATTGGATATTAATAAAGCACCCGTTATCGAACCAAATAATGCTGAAGCATATCTTGCACGTACTGCTTGGTAAATTCGCTTTTTAACTTTGGGTTTACAGTGATGTTCTCATAAATCATGAACGGAACGAGCAACATGATGCAGGAGATTATATATCAGCAGTGCAGTTTGTCCAGGTAACGCCGGGTTTTGAACTTTTCAAAAATTGTATTTTGAATTTTTTTAATCAAGAAATTTTTTCAAAAAATGCCGAGAGACATACCATTCGATGCAGAATTGTATTCTCTACAAAATTATCTGTTTAGTTTTGACTTTTGTTGATCGACAAAAACCTGTGTCACAGCGTTATGTTTGTTTTTTGCAGTTGTCACCTAAGCAAAAATAGCCTAGAGAAAATTTTCTTAGCGTTCAAAAGCTTGTTCGAAGGTCTACAAAACTGGCTCTAGAAGTATATCATTTGAAGAAATGGTTTCGCAACAAATTTGATTTTTATAAGCAGCTGCGAAGAAAAAGGGTCTTTTTATGTCACAGCATTATGCGACCAAAAAGCCTTTCTGGAAGCTCGAGAGTTTAACCAAAAAACGTCGTTTTTAGGGCATAAATAGAGTATGATAAACTGCGTCAAATGGCGTCTGAACGAACCTTTTGCCTCTCACACTTTTCGAGATAGTTGAAAAAGGTATGTCAAAAACGTCACAGCGGTACGTTTGGACAAGTCGAGTGACAGAGTAGTCTTGGAGATACCCAACATCTTTGGAGAGAGAGGAAATCAATATAAGAAGACAAAATAATTTCCGACTCTAGTAACTATCCTATCTATACTCTTTTCTGCGTATTAAACCTTTCAGAAGAGATTCCTCACCATAAGACCTTGTATTCTCATATGTTGTATATACTAAATCTCTCAGTTTAATATTTTTCAGATAATGCCCATTGTGAACGTTGTTCTAAAGGTGTATTAAATTGTAATGAAGCAATTCGTTTAAGCTCAAATCTTGTTCGTGTGTATCTATATCGTGATTGTTTAAAATATTCTATTCGTCTATATGATCATGTTATTAATGATTTAACAAAAGCATTAATAATAGATCCATCGTGTTCGCATGCATATTATAATGGTGCATTATGTTATATACGTCGAGGAAATCTTTCTTTGGCATTTAAAGATTTTGCTATTGTTCTATGTCTTGCATCAACAGTAACAAATAGTAATACTCATTATTAGAACTTGAAACCTATATGTGATTTGATTGGTCAGTTTGTTTCGATTATTTCTCGAGTATAGACAATTTTCTGGAAAAAACTAAAACCACAGTTCGATGGGGAAAAATTTCCTCTATCGACCGATATAAATCAAAAATTCGGCCCATCTAATTGTTTTCAGAAATCGTCGTAAATAGTGTATTTGATATTGATTCGATTAACACGCTATACTTTTTTCGTTCTGTCAGCATACTATTCACTTCATCAATACAAACAACGAAAGCAAAGAAAAAGTAGGATAGGATAGGATAGAAGATATATTTAATAAGAGAGAAATAACAGAATGTTAAATAGACGGTATTGTTAGCTGTTAACTGACACACATTGAATTTATAAATAATAATAAAATTGAAATCATAATTAAATATAAGGTGCAAGTAATTCAAAAATCGAGGAAAAAAATTTTTTTTGATACATTTACATCGTTCGATAGAGCCATCGAGCTCTAGAAAACAGTCTATAATAAAAATGTTTTAAAAAATTGATTCGGAACGAAATCCACTTAACAGCTATCTAAAAAATGTACCGAAGAGCCTGGATTTTTCAGGAATATCTATTGACGTAGACCAAAAAGATTTCAACTCTCGCCAAATCCGTCATATGATAGAGAAAACAGTTATGCATTCGCTGAAAAAACCACTCTACTATTGGGGAAAAAATTCATTCCTTTTTGTGTGTAGATCAATGAAGGGGTTTTTCGATGTTTCGTTTATCATTATGGGAAATAAACATCCTATTCTGAATTACAGTGCATCAAAATACACCGAAAACTACAGACAACACCAAAACCAAGTTCCGACCAAAGCAAATTTGAACGACGTTTTCTCCAAAGAGAATTTTCGATTTTACCGGCTTTCGTCTAATTTCGATTTCTCCATCATTTTAAATGTTAAGTTAGGATTGGTCCCAAAATGAAGAAAAAAAATTAGCAATACAACTTAATCTTGTCAGATTTTCGGTCTTTACGTGTCATATCTAATCACACTCATTAGCGGTAGCGCTTGATCTTGGCTACATTTTAAAATCAGTCCCAACTTTCTAGCATTGGAAGTGGCAGAGAAAATTCGGACGCGTAGATATCCATGTTTTGACCCGTAGTTTCGAGATCAATTTTAGTAGGTTAATTGTTTCGAGCTGAAATTTTACTCTGAGATTTCTATTCCAGGACACGCCTCCTCTGAAAATATCAGTAAGACTGGATGGGGGTGTGGGTGTGGGGAGTGTGGTTGTGGATTATCCTTTCTGTCTAACACCCACACATCCCCTAGCCACACCGCACCCACCCACCCCCTCAGATACTTCCGGATACAACATGAAAACTTTCATCGATATCTGATAAGCAGGAAGTCTTCAACTTATGACATCATACTGTCGGAAGCTTTCTTGTCGAAGAAATCAATCCCATCGGATCTGAGAGAATTGTAGGGTAGGTGTAGCCATCCTGGGAATTTCTCACTTTGACGCATGCGTTACGCTAAAAGTTACCTATCCATTGTTAGATTCACATCAATCTTCTCTGGGACCGAGAAAAATAGTCAAGAAAAGTAAGCTCAAGATTATGATTTTCCATGTCGATCTTAACCATAAAAACTTGCCAAGATCGTGAGAAAATGACGAGTTCACCTAGGAAATATAATTCAGTGATTTTGCCTCCTCTAGAAAGCTATAAAAATTGAGTCTCACTTAGGGATATAAAATATTGCTGAAGTTGATCACTAAAATCATATACTTTAGCCTCCATAACAATACAACTCGATTGATCGATACATCAGTTTGTGTTATGTGATATTTTTGTATGATACGGTAACATTAATCAATATATTCATGGATGTTTTCGCCAGCAGACTACTCTTTCGTGAGAAAAGAGGAAAAATAGGATTTTTCCGAAAAAAGAGGCTAAAAAGAGGAATTTTTAAAGAAAAGAGGAAAAAGAGGCGGAGTGGGATGCCAGGTTAGAATACACTGGCGAAGGTCATTTACCTGTCTGCACTGTTGATGTAGCTAATCGGAATATATGAATTGATAGGAACTATTTATTGAAAGAACTATCTTTACTTGCCACAAGTATCTTGGACTTCTTTTTTCAGATTCTATAAATTCTAGAAATATAATGACTAACATAGTATTATTTTGAGGATGAACGTATTTGTAATTTGAATACCTGTCTGTAACAGTCATCTTGTAATTATTTACTTTTTCCGGTCTTATTTTAGTCATTTTGTTATAGATGTCAATAAATTAATGAAGAAAAAATTTTTTTGTTGCAATAGTATCGTTTCATTCTTGAAAAGTTAGTATAAGTTTCAATTGTTTTTATTATATGTAACTAAAGAAAAACAATACGATTGTAAACTAGGAAAATATTGACGGAAGTCTTTTGATAAATCGTGTCGGCCAGGTAGAAAAAAATGGCTAATTTTCGCAGAATTAATTCTAGTTTGTTCTCTTGTGAAATGATTTGTTGCTCTTTGAAGAGCATCATGTTGAACCGATAAAGAAATATAATTTGTTAAAACTGATTTTGAATGAAAAAGAAATTGTTCAATATAATCATCATGAACATTAATAAGATATAATTTTGTCAGATGAGAATATTTAATTATTGGTAGATGTTCATTATTATCATCATCAGATTTTTTATTTTGTGATTGAAAATTTTGAATAGTTAGTCCTTCAAGTAATGGAAATGATTGAGAAATTTTAAGGAAAAATTCATGTTGAAAAGGCCGTTCGTCAAATAATGATATTCTAGTCACACATTTGAATAAACCACCTGGAAAATGATTGGTTATATTATCATAATTTTTCATTGTATATGGGTATGAATAACAATGACATTGACCGAAATTTTCTTCTGGAAAATAATCAACATAAGAAATTATTTTATGATTTCGAAAATTTTTTAAATGTATTTTGAATATCTTCATTTGGTCGAATATCAATTTGATTATAATCATATATTCTTGATTGAATATTAAATATAAAATGATTTAATTTTGGTAAATGATTAAGAATATCATTATTCAAACAATTTCCATCAACAAATTTTTTCTCATCAATTCTTATATTAAAAGTAAGCATTTCCAAATTTGACATTCGATGCAGAAGTGGTAAAATTGTTTGATTATAAAAGAATGTTTCATTATTACTGGTCAATGAAAAACATTTCAAATTATCGAGTTTTTTCTGGAAAAAAATCTTTTTAATTATTTAACATATGAACGTCTTTCTTACTTTCATGTCAATGTTACGAGATGGAAGAAAAAAATGTTGAACATATACATAAAAACGACGAAGTTCATTCAAACGTCCATCAAGTAAACACAGAAGATCGATCGATGTGGTCACACTTATATGCAATTCCAGTAGAACAGAAGAAGAAAATATTGGAATTTCATTATCAAATGATAGTTCGAAACAATCGTTATTGGATAATTGATGAAATTGTAAATTAATTAATTGAGGAAACATTTTAAACATACTTACAAAGACAAAATTTGTCAGACCATAGCTAGTGCTTGTCGGTTTATTAAGAACAGAAAAATATAGTGTCGAAATATGTTGAAATTTTTTGAACCATGAATTTTCGTCTTAAAAAATATAAAATTTGATTACATCAAACAAAAGTTTTCAAAAATACATTCTTCTTATTATTCTCTGATATTTTTATTGAAGTTAAATATCTTACCATTAAATAGACTTCGAAGTCTTTCCTCTTCCATACTGGCTAGACAAAGTTTATGTAAGTTAGGATAATCACCAACAAGAAGAATACGTTCCATAGATAATGATTCAACAGTTAGACATTGGATTTTCTGATGAATTTTAGGTAATATCTCTCGACACAGTCGATCCAATATTTGATTGTCTAATGAATAGATATGACCATTAGATGAACTTCTTGTTAATGTTAAACAATCTGTAAATATTGAATCATACAAAATTCTATCGAGTTGTCTGTCGATACCCATTAAAGAGTAAAGTAATTCAACATTGTCCAATTTCTTAAATATAGTCAAAAGTAATTCGTCAGGCAAATCAATCAATTGAACAGAAAAATTTTTCATTTTTATCCTCAACTGCTTATTTTTCGTCATATATATATATATATCCAACTTTTTTTATTTTACCGATGCCGTCAGGTAGGAATTTTTTTATTGTTTCTCTGTTTAAATTGGACGAAGATTGAATGAGTATATTTTTCTCACATGGACATTTCCATAAAGCAAAAAAAGATGGCCAATTGATAACTTATAAAGCAATGCGATAGGAAAGATGTCTTTCATCTCTAATTAAATTTCGAATGAATTAATCATTTGAAATTTTATAATTATTTTGAAATATCATTTCTGGATATTTTTTATTTAATCTATAAAAAACCTCTTGAAAAATTTTTCAAATCGATTTTTGAGAATTATTTCAAATAACTCTCTCCTTCGGAAATGCACAGTCTGCCATAAAAAAAAGAAAATTTTCCTCAAACATCGAATTTTTTTGCAAAAACTCTTTCTGACTAGGAAAATGAAAAAAACAGATGTTTTTGTGTATAATACATATTTCTAGAGAGAGCCATCCAAATAAAGGTATTTAAAACAAGTTGCGTGATATGAATAAAAACCCATTCTATCGATTATTGACTGGTCGAGACTTGTAATCGATAGCGATAGACGACAGGTACGATAGAGAATTTCCTACTGATCTAAGTATGTATTGAACTCATCACATTGATTTTTTCATTCTATGATATGTAAGAGAAGAAATTCCATCAATGTCAATGAAGTTACTAGAAATGCAGAGTAAACATTGATGCACAAAATGAAATGTCTCAAAATCCTGCATAATGAATAATGGAAAATTTGTAAATGTCATAATTATCAAAACCAAAAGTGTCTTTGATTTTCAATCTTTAACATATTCCTTCAAAATTTCGCACTGATTATCATACAGCCTTGTCAGACGTTTTATTTTGAAGAGAAAAACTTATTCTATATTTCTATCGAATTAATTAATAATTATATTACTTTGTTTTTGAACTGTATATGTTCTAATAAAATGAAAATTCCCATTGTAATGCTTTGGTGCATATCGAACGCGAGCACAGGACGAATTGTTCTGTTCTGTCGTGCTCTGCCACTACTTGTCCTGCTGAGCGGCAGGACAGGACGACAATTGAAGTTGTGTCCGGTCCTGTAGATTAGGACAACACAGCAGGACGGCTGTACCGTTCTGTCCTGTGCTCACCTCTGATGCATATCTATATAAATTGGTATGAAATCTTTTCGAATTTTCGCATAATAGCATTTAAATATTCTTTTTTCATATATCGAATGTTTCCTATGTCGCTAAGGACTACAATTATAAAGAAAGATGCATCCGACTACTCTGTTTATTCAAAATTCATCATAATATAGTTGATATATTTTAGTACCTTACTTTCATATGAAATAATGTTATCATATCAAAACGGAATAATTATTGAATATTGTAGTTTATTGTAGATTTAATTCTCTTCTCCTTATTATTTACAAGACATATCTTACACAAATTTGAGAAACAATAAAGTAAATGTAATGCAAAAGGTAAATTGCATGTACAAGCATTGATCAATATTCGTACTTGACGAATAATTTATAAATGTAAAGGTCTCAGTCTACCTTTTGTAGTGCTATGAAGATTTCTGTTCATCAATAGATGTTAAAAGAAAGAAGACTTATAGATATAGAGAATAGAAAACAATAGAAAATAACTGTTGTGCTATTAATATATTGTTTAAAAGAACAGATATAATTGATTGAAGGTCTCACTTCGCTTTCATATAGTTTGAATAATTCATGCTGATCTACCAGCCCCTTCGATCATGTCTGATGGTTTCTATCGGTACCGAAAAAGATACTGTAGCGATTACAATTCTGCACTTACGTATACGGAGCGACAGAGCAGAATGCATGCTACTCAGTGAGGAAGAGAGAAACGAAATATGAAGAAACACATAGAAATTGAAAAGAGAGAAGTAGTTAATAGCACAAAGGCAAAGAGACCATAGTAGACCACAACACCTTATGATTTTTTCCTTCATGGGAAAAGATGTTTTTTGAAAATTTGCCCAAAAGAGCTATTCCTGAAAAAGGCCAGATTTCGCAGTTCTGCCTCTCTCTAATAAGTTTCTCAAAACTTCACATATGTTAAAAATGAATCTATTATCATAGAGATATTTACAAGTGATTTAAAAACAATCAATTGCATTTAGTATTAAAAATGTACAAGAAAAATATTTGAATATTTTTATGATGAAATCGATGAGAAAGAAATAATTAGGTGAAATTGTTATCAATCATCACATGTGCAATAACAACTGACTGATTATGTCTGTCAATAGAAGCGAAAGAGAGAGAGAGAGATGTGTTGATTTCACTACTATGAATAATAATTACTGATTCAATCAATTGACCAATCTGATCGTTTACAAATGATTAAGATATTATTATCATTAAAAAATTTTTAAATTCATTTCAAACTCAGAATTATTCATCATAGTTTT